AGTTATAATGTTTTAAAATTCATTTTTTAAAAATATTTATTAAAAAAAAAATACATGGGGGCCCATAATGCACATGGGCCCACCATGTAGGTATTAGGTGGGGCCCCACATACCATACATGGGTGGCTTGCCCCACCCTTGGATACCTTATCTTGTTTTGTCTTCTAGTTTCTTAAAAATGGTAGCATGTGGTCAAATATTGATTAGGAAATATTGACCATATCTTATCTTGATTATTGAAGGAATATCTTGACTTGATATTATTGACTATGGTATGCACTATATCTTTAATTGATTTAATTTATTTTTATATATATATTGATGGGAAAATTGTTTAACGAAAGGGGGGTAATGGTTCATGCAAGTTGATGGCCCATCTATGGGATGGCTCAGATCTCTCACCCCACAAGTCACCTTGATCAACGGTCCATATTCAATCTCAAGAAATAGGCAAATTATGGGAAACCTTAAAGAAACCCTAGATCTATAAATTTCACTATAAATAGGGATGCTCTCCACCCATCTCAACACATCTCACTCTCCCATAAACTCTCTCTCTCTCTTTCCTAGAGGCCATGCCCTTCTCTCTCTACTCTTCTTTTTTTTTTTCTCTCTCTCTCATGATCTAATCTAAGGGTTGGGAAAATTAAGGTTTACTCACCATACTTCAGCAGTTTGTAGGCTAACCTAACCAACCTTCCTTATGAGTTCAATCCCATCCCCGGGTTTTTACGAGCCCCCTTCTTCTCTCAACGGCTTGGACCCAACTGGCACTTAGAGTGTCGGATGCAAGCAACCAGCCTTTTCGCCTACTCAACGAATAGAATCTGCATAGAGAAAAGTGCCTAGATGAGTGAGCCGAGGGACTGTGTGACCCTTGTGTGTGATGATAGGCCTACAGTGAAGGGAGCCAAAACCTCATCCATGTTCCATCACACAGCATGCATATAGATAGATTGATTAGGAAAGCTTGATATCCACCTTTAGGTGAAGCATATGCATGTGCGAGAGATACCCCTATGCACCATACAGATGTGGTCGCATCAGGCCGTGGTAACCTTGACTTGTCTCTAGGGAGGACCTGTAATCCACAGACTGGGATTACGACTCCTTGGCTCATCGACCAGACTTTGGTGACCCGCTAATGAGCCCTTGCTTGGACTGTGGGTTATGAGAAACATTGGGTAGGTTCGATAAAAGTAAGTGTGGTCTGCAGTCCACAGTTGAAGGTGGAGTACCCCATGATCGTTGATTGAATTCCTGAACCATATGGATCCACTTCTCATCATATTAATTTAATTGTGTTGAATTATTTCAGATTTATTATTTGAATTTTTGTAAGTCATTTGATATTTTATTTCTTATTTTTGGACTTATAAAAATGAAGTTATTAATTTACAAAGTTATAATGTTTTAAAATTCATTTTTTTAAAAATATTTATTATAAAAAAAAAATACATGGGGGCCCATAGTACACATGGGCCCACCATGTGGGTATTAGGTGGGGCCCCACATACCATACATGGGTGGCACGCCCCACCCTTGGATATCTTATCTTGTTTTGTCTTTAAGTTTGTTAAAAATAGTAACTACATCTTGTAGCATATGGTCAAATATCGATTAAGAAATATTGACCATATCTTATCTTGATTATTGAAGGAATATCTTGACTTGATATTATTGACTATGGTATGCACTATATCTTTAATTGATTTATATATATATTGATGGGAAAATTGTTTAAGGAAAGGGGGGTAATGGTTCATGCAAGTTGATGGCCCATTTATGGGATAACTCAGATCTCTCACCCCACAAGTCACCTTGATCAACGGTCCATATTCAATCTCAAAAAATAGGCAAACTATGGGAAACCTTAAAGAAACCCTAGATCTATAAATTTCACTATAAATAGGGATACTCTCCCCCCATCTCAACTCACCTCTCTCTCCCATAAACTCTCTCTCTTCCTTAGAGGCCACGCCCCTCTCTCTACTCTTTTTTTTTTTTCTCTCTCTCATGATCTAATCTAAAGGTTGGGAAAATTAGGGTTTACTCACCATACTTCAAGAGTTTGTAGGCTGACCTAACCAGCCTTCCTTATGAGTTCAATCCCATCCCCGGGTTTTTACGAGCCCCCTTCTTCTCTCAACGGCATGGACCCAGCTGGCACTTAGAGTGTCGGAGGCAAGCAACCAGCCTTTTCGCTTACTCAACGAATAGAATCTGCATAGAGAAAAGTGCCTAGATGAGTGAGCCGACGGACTGTGTGACTCTTGTGTGTGATGATAGGCCTACAGTGAAGGGGGCCAAAACCTCATCCATGTTCCATCACACGACATGCATATAGATAGATCGTTCGAAAAAATTTGATATTCACCTTTGGGTGAAGCATATGCATGTGCGAGAGATACCCCTATGCGTCATACAACTGTGGTCGCATCAGGTCGTGGTGACCTTGACTTGTCTCTAGGGAAGACCTGTAATCCACAGACTGGGATTGCGACTCCTTGGCTCATAGACCAGACTTTGGTGACCCGCTAATGAGCCCTTACTTGGACTGTGGGTCATGAGAAATACTAAGTCAGTTCGATAAAAGTAAGTGTGGTCTATAGTCCACAGTTGAAGGTGGAGTACCCCGTGATCGTTGATTAAATTCATGAACCATATGGATCCACTTCTCATCACATTAATTTAATTGTGTTGCATTATTTCAAATTTATTATTTGAATTTTTGTAAGTCATTTGATATTTTATTTCTTATTTTTGGACTTATAAAAATGAAGTTATTAATTTACAAAGTTATAATGTTTTAAAATTCATTTTTTAAAAATATTTATTAAAAAAAAAAATACATGGAGGCTCATAATGCACTTTGGCCCACTACGGTATGCACTATATCTTTAATTGATTTAATTTATTTATATATATATTGATGGGAAAATGGTTTAAGGAAAGGGGGGTAATGGTTCATGCAAGTTGATGGCCCATCTATGGAATGGATGGCTCAGATCTCTCACCCCACAAGTCACCTTGATCAACGGTCCATTTCAATTTTAAGAAATAGGCAAACTATGGAAAACCCTAAAAAAACTCTAGATCTATAAATTTTACTATAAATAAGGATGCTCTCCCCCCATCTCAACACATCTCTCTCTCCCATAACTCTCTCTCTCTCTCTCCTA